TAGTGGTAGTGGTAGAGTGAATTTACTTGGCCTGTAAAAAAAGTATATAATTGTGACTAACAGTCAAAATAAAAAAACAAACAATGGAATTATCAGTTACTACTGTGTATTATGCATATCATTTTTTTCAAGGGCCAAATAAAATTATAGCAGTATTGTTGCTATTATTGTAATGGTGGATGGTGGTAGCAGCAGTAGTAGCAGCAGTATTAGTAGCAGCAGCAGCAGTAGTAGTAGTAGTAGTAACATTAATATTAGCAGGTAGGTAGTAGAGCTTGAAGTAAAACCATGAAATAAAAACAAAATTGATACTGACAAATGGTACTGTTTGTATTGGAAATCGCATGATCTCAAGTACAATTGGAATTTATAGGTACAAGTGATGTTTTGAATGCTTTCAAAATTGCATGAGCCTTTAGGCGAGTCCAATTTAAGAACTTTCAAAGCATCACAAGTATCCATAAATTCCAAATTGTACGAGAAGATTGTGTGATTTTTTGTATATAATACACTCAACAAAATTGAGCAATTTAATTGTTACTCTACAGAGTACAATTTGGGATTTAATTTTACAACTCTTGTTTAATCAACCAATTTCAATCTAGTAATTTCGTTGAGTTTACTATAAAGTGACTAATAATAGCTATCACTCAACCAGAACATTCTTTACACAAAAGACACAAATGGTCTCTCGCGTATTTGTCTTTGTGTAATGAATGTTCTGGTTGAGTGACAGCAACTATTAGTCACTAAATAACTACTATTTGTCAGTATTAACTCTGTTTTTATTTCATGGTTTTACCGTATGCCCTCTAGTTAAGTAGTAGTATTAGCAGTTGTTGTTGAATGCATTTTTAAATTAAACAAAAGCACATTTATTTCATAAGTAAAGAAAGTTAATATCTGTCCTCCCCAGTACCCAATATTAGGCTTACCAACATATTCCCCCTTCCACCTTCCCTACACTTGGTCTTCAGAAAATATTCTTGATTCTCACTTCGTGAGAACATGCCTTCTTTTCTCTTCATATTTTACCTCGCTAAACAAACCTGATTCCCACGTCCTCGTATCATATGGATTATAAATTAGCAAGGTGAAAGTATAAGTAAATTTGTGAATAATGACATTTAGCTATGATTTTGGTTCCAAGATGTTTGATTACTTTGGAATCCAGAACCTTGATTCTGCTTGGAGTTTGATTTAATAGCCCTAATATGTAACAAAGCAATTAAAGTTATAGTCAAGTTATAAATAAAATATGTAAGTTAACATTGAAAAAAAAAAACAATAAAGATATTAAGATAAGATAAGAAAATATAAGAAAATTCATAAAAAATCTTCGAGTACCTTCATTATTATCTTCCGCCATCTTTATTTTCCGCACGCAATAGGGAATGGGCACAATTGAGGGGTACTTCCGCAGACCAGTGGTGCAGGGCCGCCGTGACTAGAATTCATATCTGGAGACTCGAATCTTGGTAATAAGAATCTTTGTTTGAGTCGTATAATATTCTGCCCTATCAGTGGCGGATCCAGGGGGGGTTCGAAGGGTTCCACGGAACCCCCCTTGAAGGTTTGATCTTTTAGGTAATAGAAATATCCACAAGGATAATGTTGAACACGAAATGATAAATATTTGCTGTTATAATCTTTAATTTACCTTTAAGTTCCGTTACTAGATAGTAAATTAGGTGATTAGAGCCAATTTTTTTGTCAGACATCGACTAAACAAAAGAGAATTATACACAGTTTAAGAAACGGAACCCCCTTTGAAAAATCCTGGATCCGCCACTGCCTATGTATTTATATTGATGAGGTATGCGGATTCCCACTTTGGCCGATATGTTAAGGTGATCTGTCCCGGCTTGCTCGCGGGAGGTAGGCGGGTTTGGCAGCTTTGACTCTTGCCGTCAATTCGTATAAAGAGGCACAGAGGGAAATAAGAAAACATAAGAAATTTCAATAACTCGCGATAAAAACTAATTGGAAATTTCGGAATTCCCCATTTGAAAACTGTGTCGACATTGAGATAGAATTGAGTTTCTAAAAATCTTTAATGAAAAAAATGACTGTGCTTAATTTTTTTAACAATTTGACTGTTAATTTTACCATTTGCTCTTAGTATGTTATTGATTTAGTGTGTCCTGTGCCAGGTTCTGTGCGGGTGATATTGGAAGATACATTCTTTTGGCACTGAAAAATAGATTTGGTATACTGCTAGGACTGGAGTTTGGGTTACGTGGAAATGGCCCGAGAAAACATTGAACATTGAACTGATATCACTAAAATGCAGGCCTTGGAAATTGAAACACCTCCCGCCCACCCGCCTCCTTATGCAAACACACACGTACACACCTTTTCAGGACCCTGCTTAGAAAAACACCGAAATTTTAAAGCCAGATTAATAGTGAAGTACTTTACCAATTGCAATTGTTAGTTTTTAGTGTCATCTGGGATGTCAAACGTAGTAACACAATTTTAAACAACCAAACAATCAAACCAATCGACCTTTACCGAATTCGCTCGACAGCCACGAAACAACGTCTCCAAAGTCAAGAATAGACTTGATAAAATACATTAAATGAATGAAAACATCAGGTCCTATCTCGACTTGAAGACATTATGTGTTACGTGGTGACTCAAGTGAATTCGGTAAAGATCCATTGTTGGGTCCTGAATCGTGGAAAGTTTATGCCATCACTATAAAGTAAAAATAAGAAATAACTGCAGAAAAACAAGTTAAACCGGTAAGGATGTGGCGAGTAGTCGCAGAAGATACTGTTGGTGCTGCTTTTCCTCCAGCTGTAGTTCCTCCTACTTCTGTTGTTGCTGCTGCTGTTTTTGTTGATGTAGTTGTCTTCATGGCAACATCTGCATTGCAAAGATTTCCCAAACAACACGAAACGTGGCAGTCTTTCAAACCTCCATTCACTGAGGCGTTCGCCGAAGCACAGAACATTCCTTGGTCACACATGGCATGGTTGCTGCAATTTTTCATTTGGAACTCCATGGGCTTGGCTAAACCTGGTAATTTTACTAATCCTTTGACTGACATACAGCGATCCTGGGGAAACATAGGCAATGGGCCAGCACCACACGTCTGTGTTAATGGATCACTGCAGTCTTTCTGAACTCCATATCTAGGAATATTTGAACAAGCCATACAGGAAAGGTCCGCTCCTAATAAAAAAAATATTCAGTATCGCTATCAAAACTGTCAGCCATGACTTCGAGGTTGCGTGGAAAACTAGTAACGTACCCAGAACCTGCGTATATTCTGGCCTGCGGTGAAGAACGAGGGCTATGGCATAATTCATATAYACCTATTTCAATAAAGTTAGTCAACCAAAAACCTAGAACGAAAGCTGTGATCGCTGAGAATCATGGGATATATCTTATATTCAACAAGTAAAGCTTTTGACACAAACTGTAGTAGTTGAGGATGCTCAGAGGAGGTGAACTTGTAACTGGTAGAAGATCTCAASTCCATAAACAGTTATCAAGCGGTTAAAACCATAGCTATTTACTATGTTAAAACATGTAAAATGTATCTACCCATAATCCTTGCCGGTCTCAGCTGTGTAGCTTTTCAGGTGACTAACTTTATTGAAATAAGTGTATATGATTCATATATCATATATTCAGGATATCTTGGACTTCTGGTATAAGAGCGCATGCGTTCAAAGACTTGCCAAACATTTAGAAATATATCTTCCCGATTTCTAATTTTTATTTTGATAGGAAGTAAACACAGAACTCTGTTTTAAAGAGGATTCATTGATCACATTTCACTTCCGGAGAATTACGCATGCGCCAAAAAATGGATTATGCTAGAGCCCTCGTTCTTCGCCGCTAGGCAGAAGAAACGCAGGCTCTGGGTAGGAGATTGCTAATGATCAGATTTAGAGCACGAGCAGACGTTTTTAATCGTATGTGTTTTATATATTTTTGCATAATAAATGACATACCGGAGGGTCCAGTAGGCATTGGTGCTTGTGTCGGTATGGGTCCCCCGCTGTTGCACAGGTCTCCTTCACAACAGCCTACTTCACACTTCTTCAAGATTCCAGTTGCGTTGGCTGCGTTACATGTTATGTCACGCATGCTTTGACATTGCAATGAGTAGGAACAGTTACGGATCTCTTGGTGTAGAGTTATATCGCCCATACCAAGTACCAACCTATTCCGGGACAAACAAAAAGTAATAAAGGAGTTTTAAAGAATCTCCAACATTTACCAGGATCTTTGGGGCGCATTTTGCGGTGACGTCATTGATGATTTAATTTGTTCTCCTATCATCGAAGTGAAATACAAAAGAAATACCACAACGTCTATCGAGATTTGTGATTTCTTTCGATAATTTTGCATGAGAAAGGTTTATTAAAAAAGCATAATGACCTTTGAGTTAAGCATCGGTTAGGAGCCATAGGTACCCCATGCAATGGTTTACACGTGGTTTCTTGCGGCGGTGCACAGGAAGGGCTGGGTCCTACACTTGAGTTCGAGCAAATATAGGTGTAGCATTTCAGGGAGTATCCTGGTGAAGAGAAAAAAGAAGATGAAGGAAATGAGAGGAAATGACACTCTCCTAAATATATCTTGATTAACGAAGAGGGAGGCTTAAAGCAAAAGAGAGAAAGAAAAGAAAACTAGAGAGGTGGAGACGGTGAGAGTGAGAAGAAATGGAAGAAAGGATAACTGGGAAAAGGGGAGAGCCGAAGAAAAATAAGGAGAGAAAGAAATGAGAAAGGCCAGAAGGAAAGAGATGGAAGAAGAAAGAGAAAGATTACAAGATTAAAAGAAACGATGTTGGGAGATCAGAGGGAGAGAGGAAGGAAAAAAACGAAAGAGAAAATAGAGAGAGAAAGAGAAGAAGAGGAGGAAAAGTGTAAAAAAAGTGGTTTAAAAGCTTTAAAAACACTCACTTTCACAAATCATCTCCAGTCACTTAGTCCATTTACCTTACAAAAATCCTATCAGTAAAAACCTTTTACCAAACTTTTTTAGATGTTAACATATATAAACGGCTTTATTCAATTAAAATCCAATTTATTTCGTATCAAATGATACCATAATGACGAATTTCTAGTGAAATATATGATAAATTCTCCACAGGGTGTTGCCAACCTAGTTTACTTCAGTTTCATTTTATTGCTGGTTCTATACGCTGGTCATAGACTAAAAATTTCAACCACAAAAAATCTTCTTTGTTCAGCTGTGCCGCAAGAATTAAAAAATAAAAATCATACTTTAAAAACAGCTCGGGTGAGTATATTGATCATCTGTTTAAACTAAAATCTGCTTTTGCTTTAATTTAATTGTCTTGGACGTTCTCGAGCTCGAGTACTGTTTATGATTTATTGAAGTGGTCTATTCTCCACACAGAATACTTAATGAAGCGACCAAGACTTGCCCTATTTCACTATGACGTCACTGTTTGTTCATGTGGGGGATAGAATCGCCAAATCCAATAGAAAATTCAACAAATTGCTCCTATCGAAACAGTTTAATCTAAAATGGCCTGGTTTTCAGATATAATATGCGTTAATATGTACTTTAAATATTCTGAGCGTTTGCTGGCTATTCTGTACTTCTCTTCGTGAATTGATACGGGTTTTAGAACAATTTTCGGTGAATTTGCGCTGATTTGACCCCCTCCGACGACCATGCTTCTTTGCGTTTAAGAGCGACTGTCTGTAAAAATCAAACAAAATCAGAAATATGTGGAAAGGCTCAAATTTTCGAATTCGCTCTACTTTTGGATTTTAGTAGTGTATGATGAAGCAAGAAACGCTGTGTGGTTAGTTTTGAAAAATACTTTTTAGTTTTCGAGAAAAAGGGAAAAATCGGTTTGAGCTCCACTAGCAGCAGTTAGGCGGACTCGCGAAGCGCCGGCATTGCCAAAAATCACAAGTCGAAAAACACCAGGGGGGGGTGGGTTTTTGGAGGTCGGTAACCCGCGGAACAGGGGGTCTTGCGCGATCCGCCGGCAGCGCGAAAGGTGCCTAACTGCTGCTCTGTTGGGGTCGCAAACGGAGGGAAAGATATTCTTTAGATATACATG